ATTATTTGCCCATTTGAATGCTGGAATAAGAAAAGATTCAATGTCTGATTTTTAAAAAAGGACCTGGGCTAAACTAGCACGCCATTTATTTGGAGTTCGTACATCAAAAACTGCTCAAAAAAAAGAAAACGTTTTTCAGACATTCTAAGAGATTTTTGCAGATGGGGAACTTCAGATAACAAACACTGGAAATATTACTGAGTCTGGTTGCACTTGATCTTCAGCAGCCTTTCCGGTGCTACATCACATATTATTCACAAAAGGCTCCTGCTAGTGCTAACAGACACTTTATAAACCAGTGTGTGTCTATGACTTTGACCATTCTCAACAGACAAATTGTTGCTTCTTTGGAATCACACTGTTGTCCAAACTGTTGTCTTTTTCCCCAAACATCCCTCTGTTCCACATTTCCATGCTTTTGCTCAATGTTTTGCAGGATTTTCACTGACCTGATGTCAGTTACCCTGTGAGATAAATTTCCCTGGGGGAAGTGAAGCTTCTTGGTGTTAATCAGAATCAGAATCAGAATACTTTATCAATCCCTGGGGGAAATTATTTTTTGTTACAGTGCTCCATTATAAACCAACATAAACCAACATTAAGACAAGACAGACAATACGCTAACTAAGAATAGTACAATATATACATATATACATACATAAGTCACTCATAAATAAATAGTTGGAAAAGAAACGTGTAGTTGTAGCAGCAAACAGTGTGTTAAGTGGATGCGTTGTACAGGGAGATGGCCACAGGCAGGAATGATTTCCTGTGTCGTTCAGTGGTGCTTTTCGGTAATCTCAGTCTCTCACTGAACGAGCTCCTGTGACTGACCAGCATGTCATGGAGTGGGTGGGAGGTGTTATCCAACATGTCTTTATCTTGGACAGCATCCGCCTCTCCGACACCACCTTGAGGGAGTCCAGCTCCATCCCCACAACATTGCTGGCCTTACGGATAGTTTATTAAGTCTGTTGGCATCTGCGACCCTCAGCCTGCTCCCCCAGCATGCAACAGCATAGAGGATCGCACTGGCCACAACAGACTCTAGAAAATCCTCAGCATTTTCTGGCAGATGTTGAAGGACCTCAGTCGCCTCAAAAAATAGAGACGACTCTGGCCCTTCCTGTAAAGTGCTGTGGTGTTTTTAGCCCAGTCCAGTTTATTGTCAATGTGTAACTCCAAGGTATTTATAGTCCTCCACAATGTCAACACTGACCCCCTGGATTGAAACAGGGGTCAAGTGTTTCCTGGTCTTCCTGAAGTCCACGATCAGTTCCTTGGTCTTTGCCACGTTGAGCTGCAGATGATTATGCTGTTACTATCAAAGTGAGATCACACCGTTTCCGCAAAAGAGTTGTGGCACCTTTGAGCGCAGATAACGGATTAAGTTCAATCCTCAGTACTGTGAACACAAACAGGAGATTATGTGGATCCCTGAATTATTATTACACTAATTATTTTCTGACATATTATTTGAACTCTAGTTTTTATTTATATTTAAGGTTTCTGGGCGACGTGGCTCAGGGGGTTGGGAATCGCATCTGTAACCGGAAGGTCGCCGGTTCGATCCCGGGCTCTCTGTCCTGGTCGTTGTGTCCTTGGGCAAGACACTTTACCCTACTTGCCTACTGGTGTTGGCCAGAGGGGCCGATGGCGCGATATGGCAGCCTCGCTTCTGTCAGTCTGCCCCAGGGCAGCTGTGGCTACAACCGTAGCTGCCTCCACCAGTGTTGAATGTGAGAGTGAATGAATAGTGGCATTGTAAAGCGCTTTGGGTGCCTTGAAAAGCGCTATATAAATCCAATCCATTATTATTCTGAAAATATCCCTCTGGATTCAAGCATTTCATTGTATTCTATATATATATTTAAACTTAACATGACGTGGCTTCTACCAAATCATAGTTTTCAACAATCATAGCTTTCAGCAACCATCTACTGCATGATAGATGCAGTAGATGGGCCCATTACATGACTAATCCTGGTCTGGTCCTGGTAATCTGACCATCTCCCATTCCTCAGTGTCCTCTAATCTTTCCAATCCACATCCCTCCTCATTCTATATTACTATACCATAATCTATAAAAACGCCTCCGTCCCCCACAAACAAACCGAGGATTTACACAAACCGTGTAAATCCTCTGATACGGCTGTAATCAGCAGCTCTATAGCCTGGTATATAACAGCAGCATGCCGGGTAGTCTTCGCTGCCTGATGGAGGAATCGAAAACACACATGCATACATGAACAATACAACATCAGACACCAAGAAAAACTTACATTAAACCGACTCAAACAAAAAAACTGCACTGGTTGACGAAGCTACGTTCGAATTCAGGTTACCCAGAGCTTGAGGGTGTTGCGCACTCACAACCACTTTTGACTGCAAGGTGATTGCAAAGGTCGCCTGACAGGAGGCAAACTTTCTGCAAACAGTTGCAGTCTGACTCAGGCTGACTGCAGTCACAGATTCCAACATGATTCCACCAGCCTGAAAGAGCCTTATTTTGATGAGAACAACTTGAAGCGACTCGACTCAACTGGCTGCCAGCTGGTTTCATTCCTACAGAATGTATGAGCTATGAAGACCACTACAGATTGGGATTTTTGAAGATTTGTCACCGTTACTGAAGTGAAATGAAGTCAGATAACGTAATCTTATTGGATAAAACAGACAAAGTTCACAGTTTAAAAAAACAATGTGATAAATCACAATACATGTTATTTCAATGCTCAGCATGTTGCAAAATGTTAAGAATCACTATCTAATCACAGTGAAGTATTGTGATAATATACTGTGGGGTGTCTGGTGGTTCCCTCCTCTAATCTAAATCAATAAAATGAAGGGGTGACAGCAGATCAGTCCAAAGGTTTTGAGCCACTGATACTCAAAAAGCCTGATGAGTACAAGAGACCAGCTGGAAGTGTTGGTCGGTAAAAGTACTCGAGATAAATTGAGATAAAATTATTACATTTTGTGCATTTATTTTCTCATTTTGGATCCATTGTAAGAACTGTGGTGATACACCGACTTTTCATTTACTGAAAAAATCATATTAGTACTTCTTGTGATTTTTTGTGATGTATTAGCTAAGCTAACCACTGCCTATGAAGTTTCAAAGAACTGCAGAGATTGGCTCACCAGATATCAAAAAAGTAAATGTAGGTGGAAGGGTGTGCTTGTGTGGGACAATCTGGGGCATGTTACCAACGCTGTGAAGTAATTCTGATACTGGTACTGCGCAAAAGTCTTCTGCCACACCTTATTTCTTTATATTTTTCTATCAAAATGTAAAATACATGCAGGAATATACGGAAAAATCACATGGAAAGTGTAGCATATAGGGTAAAAGCAGAGTTTACAATTGTAACCAGATTGAAAGTCAGTATTTGGTATGACTACCTTTATTTTTCAACACAGCCTGAACTCTCTTGGTGAAGATTTCTTCTATTTTTTTTAAGCAGCCTTGAGGAATAGTTCTCCAGGTTTCTTAAAGGACATCCAAAGCTCTTCTCTGGATGTTGGATGCCTTAGATCCCACACTGCTTCAATAATATTGAGGTCTGGGCTTCAATCCATGACTGATACTGTTTCACTGTGTGTTTTTCTATCCAGGTATGCTGTCACTGCTCTGCCAGTGTATTTGGGATCATTGTCATGTCGAAAAATGAAGCCACAGCCAACTAGGCACTTTCCAGATCCATTTTTAATTGAATCAAATTCAACAAGATCCTCAACACCACTGGCTGAGATGCAGCCCCAAACCATAACATACAGTCATACATCATATGACTGTATTCAAACCATGAATGTCAGGAACTCCTGCTGTAGAGTGATTATAGTGACGTGTGTGTGTGTGTGTGTGTGTGTGTGTGTGTGTGTGTGTGTGTGTGTGTGTGTAAAGAAGTGAGAGTGGCAAGCTGTCTAACAATTTATGGATTTGAGACCACACATGCACAGTGAGGATGAGCAAGGATAATCCTCCAAAGCCTTCAGGACACCATCTGTACTATCGCTTAAAAACCCTTTGAGTTTATGCTACAGTGGGCCACTAGAGGGCACTGTAGGCTTGTTTAAAAGCACATATGTCACTGATTGACAGAGCGATTTCCTGTGTGGGCAGGATATACCAAAACTCACAGAGCAGTGTGAGCAGATGCTGAGGTGCATAGTGTGTAGAGGTTGGCAACTCACTATAGAGTTAAACGCCACAGACCTCCAAACTTCATGTGGCCTTTGGATTAGCTCAAGAACAGTGTGTAGAGAGCTTCATAGAATAGGTTTCCATGGCCAAGGAGCTTCATACAAGGCTTACACCACTAAGCGCAAAGCAAAGTTGGATGCAGGGGTGTATGGCATGCATACACTGGACTCTAGAGCAGTGGAGATGTACTCATCTGACTGCATTGTGTCAAGTGCAAAGTTTGGCCGAAGGGGTATTATGGTGTGGGGTTGTTTTTCGGGAGTTGGGCTTGGCCCCCTTAGTTCCAGTAAAAGAAACTCTTAACACATAAGCACACTGAGACATTTTTCATACTCCCAACTTTGTGGGAATAGTTTGGGGTGGGCCCTTTCTGTTCCCACATGACTGTGTTCCAGTGCTCAAAGCAAGGTCCATAAAGACATAGATGAGCGAGTTTGTGTGGAAGAACTTGACTGGCCTGCACAGAGTCCTGACCTCAACACCTTTAGGATGAATTAAAGTGGAGACTGTGAGCCAGGAAAACTTCCCATAAACACTCCAAAACCTTGTTTAAAGTCTTCCTAGAAGAGCTGAAGCTGTTACAGGTACAAAGGCTATGATCATAGTAAACCCTGTATTTAGGTTCATATTCCTGTGAAGGCAGACAAATGAATACTTTTGGAAATATAGTGTATGTACCTATTTAGAAGCCATAAAAACTTTATTGGAGTCACTGGGTTATACAAATGTGATAGATAAAAGTCCAGTTAACACTGGTTTTAGATATGACCACAAATTAAACTGTAAACTGAACTTGAACAAACATATGTAACATTTATTTCAGGAAAACTCTGGGAAACAAAGGGAAACAGCTTTAAGATAAGATGGAAAATAGAAAGTAGTGCATGCCAACATAGTGAGCCCTGCATAGATTAAAACTGATCGTAACAACTAAGGCAGTGCTCGACTTAACTAACGTAGACATTCACCTTTAAAAACTACATGCAGCATCATTGCAATCACCACACTCAAAACAATATTTATGCCCAAAATGTTGACTTTAAGCAATTTGAGTATATGTAATTTTTTATTAGAAATGCATAATGTAAAACATTCAATTTAAAATAATCTGGTCAAATGATGTTGGTTCAGTGGTTTACATTCAGTTTCTACCAAGCATATTGTCCATATTAGAAATTACTGTTTATGAGGGCCAATAATCTTTTCTGTGTGTGCTCTAGTAACCGAAGGTAAACCAGATGTTGGAGGTGGGCATTGGTACTGCAATAAGCATTAGTAAAGTTTTACCTCACATTATTTAAGACACCAGTAATTGGTGATTTGAAGGGTAAAATCAGCTAACATGGGCAATATCTTTTTGTAGTTAAGTAATAAAAGCTGCCTCTGAACTCTTTTGTAGGTTATTCTTTTTATAAGCTAATGGTGATAAACATTGGTTGGAGGGGCACCAACACACTATAGAATCACCATTGCTTCTTATCCAGACTTTTAATTTTAGGAGTGTTTCCTTTGTAACATAAGATTAAATTAATAATTTAAAATAATCCAAATCCAAGTGTTTCCTAGTTTTTTTTTTATTGTAACTTTAATATCTTTGGGTTTTATATTAGCGGTAAAACAAAAAAAGTGTTTTTAAGATTTAACCTTTAACTACCTTTATATGATTTTGGCGGAAAAAAGTTTTTGGAAAAAAATTGAAAAAAATCTAATAATCTGCCATTGCTGACAATGACTCACTTCCTTTCACTTTTCTAATTCCAAGTAGGGACTGCAAGTACCTAAACATAAGTATTTATTCAAATACAAATGCAGGGTTCTCCTCATCTCTTCCTCCTTCAGACAGAAACCAAGGAATGGGATGTTTGGATTAGCTCTGCCCCTCAGCTGCTGACAGACAGCTTCTGCAGATCCCTGCTTTGCTGAGTCTAGACTTGCTGGCCTCTATTCATAGCTGCATATTGGACTACATCTCCTGGCTCAAGCTGCTAATGCACACAGACTTAAACACAATCTGAAATGATACTTTCACTAGCCACATCCTCCTCCTGTCAACTGCCCTCTGTGGAAAATCACCATCAAATTTTAGTGAGGACATAAAGAGTTTCATGTTTTATGTCCCTGGAGGTTCAAGATGGTAATCGTATCCATTTTCTCTACTGCTCTTCCCCACTGGAATAGCGCGGAGGCTGGAGATACTGTCCGGTGTCCAGTTGAGGCAAAGTCATGAGTTACAGATCATTCAGTGATGCGTCATCATGACGTTGTCGTCGTCTTCTTGAATGTAGAGCTGCGTCACGACACGGACGTGCGAGATTTTTTTCACTGCCTTGTGAAACATTAGCTTCATGTCCTTCGACTGCTTCCTCGGAATGCAAATGCTGGTGCTGAGAGGAAGAGGAGAAGCAATCAAAGGGGGAAGAAAAAGGAAAGATGAACAGAACATTAACGCAAGATGGGAAAAGATTACTTCTTTTAATGTTGGAATTAGCTTCAGCTATGAGTAAATTATTACAAAAAAGATATAAAAGAAAAAATGAAACATTTTGGGGAATACGCTTCTTTAGTTTCTCGCTATGACGACGAAATCACTAACACTCGTATCCATATAAGACCTATAGTCAGGTAGTGATTAGCATAGCTTAGCTTTAGGTCTGGAACCAGAACAAAAACTGTTTTATTAATTAAAACAGCCAAATAGATGACTTTTCAAAAGTTAGGCTAAATTTTCATATCTTTTAATATCTGCATAGCCTAGCAAGTTGTTTAGCTCACTTTAGCTAACCAGATATTAGTTAGCTAAATTGCTAAAGTAGCATTAATCTGACTTTTTAACAGGATGTTGAACAATACCTTTAAAGGTACTTTATGCAATTACCATCTGCAAAATCTAATTACTGTTATGTGTTTAGATGTTTTTGGGTGTGTACTGCTGCTTTTTTTAACTTTAACTAGCTACACCTATTTCCTTATTGAGGCTTTGTTATGCTACCATTTTAAAAAGCAATGTGCTCCTAATGGCTTAGTTTGAATTATAGAATTACAAACTGGTAATACATGAAAGCATAGGCCAACCCCAGTTCAACCTGTATCTATATATCTTCAACACAGTAGAAACTTTGAGCATGAAGTTATAGTAACTGTTTCTTCACAGTCTCTTGATGGCTTTAGTTCATTTTGGAAGGTTTGAAACACAGGAATTAACAACAAGTACAATCATGCGAAACAGAAAGTTTTTACAGGACTCTCTGAAATCCTGTGAAAAACTAAGTACACTGCTTCCAATAGTAAGTATAAGAGAGCGGAAGTTTCAGTAGTTTGGTGGTCTGCAGTATTCAGGTGCTTGTTAACACAATGTCATAGTCTTCCCAGGAGTCGATACCCCAGCTAATTCACCTCAAGGTCAGATCATGTTCAATGTTCAAAGAAACTGCGAAAAATCCAAGAGCTACATCTCAGACTCTACAGGGCTCGGTTAGTTCAAACTTAAAATTCATGACAGCACAATTAGCAAAAGACTCAACATGTATGGCTTGTTTGGAAGGGTTGCCAGAAGATACCTTTTCTCTAAAAAGAATAGCTTAAGTTTCCAAGTCGAGTAAACCACAAGACTTCTGGAACAATGTCCTTTGAACAGATGAGACCAAATGAGGAAATATTTGGCCATAATGTACAGTGCCATGTTTGGAGAAAACCAAACTCAGCACATCAGCACAAATAAGCTTATACCAACTGTCAAGCACGGTGGTGGAGGGGTGATGATTTGGGCTTGTTTTGCAGCCACAGGACCTGGACAGCTTGCAGTCATTGAGTTGACCATGAACTCCTCTGTATACCAAAGTATCTCAGAGGTGTCAGGAAATCTGTCTGACAAATAAAGTTTGGCCCTATATGGATAATGTAACAGGACAGTGACCACAAGCAAAACATAGATTTCACACAACTGCATAGACTCCTGTGAAAGCTTTCTTTTTCACATGACTGTACATTTAAGAAAAGAAAAAAAGGAAGTAAACATTGGAAATAACATCTATACAGACAAGGTCATAAATACAAACAATTATATAGACATTCATGGTGTTTCCTCAGTACATAGTCAATTTAGAGGTGCACTAATGAAAATAAAACATCTGTACTGCAGACATGTATGAAGAAGCACCATGACATATCAGATTTCACATTTCAGCCCAGGTCAGTTGGTGTCGGTACATCACCACATTAAACGAAAAGCTTGCTTTGGGAATATTTCCCTCTGATGGGGTAAGAACCTTAAACAGATGAAATTTAAAAAAATTAAGTTTATGATTAGCTCAAACATTTCGAGTAACAACAGTGATGTGGTGAATGGTCCACATGTGACATTTTCATTTAAAAAACTTGTAAAGTAGAAGAACTGAGTTTTGTCAGTGATAAAAGAAAGAGGACTTTCTACAGGGAGTGCAGAATTATTAGGCAAGTTGCATTTTTGAGGAATAATTTTATTATTGAACAACAACCATGTTCTCAATGAACCCAAAAAACTCATTAATATCAAAGCTGAATGTTTTTGGAAGTAGTTTTTAGTTTGTTTTTAGTTTTAGCTATTTTAGGGGGATATCTGTGTGTGCAGGTGACTATTACTGTGCATAATTATTAGGCAACTTAACAAAAAACAAATATATACCCATTTCAATTATTTATTTTTACCAGTGAAACCAATATAACATCTCCACATTCACAAATATACATTTCTGACATTCAAAAACAAAACAAAAACAAATCAGCGACCAATATAGCCACCTTTCTTTGCAAGGACACTCAAAAGCCTGCCATCCATGGATTCTGTCAGTGTTTTGATCTGTTCACCATCAACATTGCGTGCAGCAGCAACCACAGCCTCCCAGACACTGTTCAGAGAGGTGTACTGTTTTCCCTCCTTGTAAATCTCACATTTGATGATGGACCACAGGTTCTCAATGGGGTTCAGATCAGGTGAACAAGGAGGCCATGTCATTAGTTTTTCTTCTTTTATACCCTTTCTTGCCAGCCACGCTGTGGAGTACTTGGACGCGTGTGATGGAGCATTGTCCTGCATGAAAATCATGTTTTTCTTGAAGGATGCAGACTTCTTCCTGTACCACTGCTTGAAGAAGGTGTCTTCCAGAAACTGGCAGTAGGACTGGGAGTTGAGCTTGACTCCATCCTCAACCCGAAAAGGCCCCACAAGCTCATCTTTGATGATACCAGCCCAAACCAGTACTCCACCTCCACCTTGCTGGCGTCTGAGTCGGACTGGAGCTCTCTGCCCTTTACCAATCCAGCCACGGGCCCATCCATCTGGCCCATCAAGACTCACTCTCATTTCATCAGTCCATAAAACCTTAGAAAAACCAGTCTTGAGATATTTCTTGGCCCAGTCTTGACGTTTCAGCTTGTGTGTCTTGTTCAGTGGTGGTCGTCTTTCAGCCTTTCTTACCTTGGCCATGTCTCTGAGTATTGCACACCTTGTGCTTTTGGGCACTCCAGTGATGTTGCAGCTCTGAAATATGGCCAAACTGGTGGCAAGTGGCATCTTGGCAGCTGCACGCTTGACTTTTCTCAGTTCATGGGCAGTTATTTTGCGCCTTGGTTTTTCCACACGCTTCTTGCGACCCTGTTGACTATTTTGAATGAAACGCTTGATTGTTCGATGATCACGCTTCAGAAGCTTTGCAATTTTGAGACTGCTGCATCCCTCTGCAAGATATCTCACTATTTTTGACTTTTCTGAGCCTGTCAAGTCCTTCTTTTGACCCATTTTGCCAAAGGAAAGGACGTTGCCTAATAATTATGCACACCTGATATAGGGTGTTGATGTCATTAGACCACACCCCTTCTCATTACAGAGATGCACATCACCTAATATGCTTAATTGGTAGTAGGCTTTCGAGCCTATACAGCTTGGAGTAAGACAACATGCATGAAGAGGATGATGTGGACAAAATACTCATTTGCCTAATAATTCTGCACTCCCTGTATTTAATGGACAAAATCCCCACATCTCTCCCTTGAACTGTCTTTAGATATTGCCGTTTTTGTTTGCATTTACTTGTCTCTTGACCGACTTCAAAATCCCACAGGAAATCTTTTGTTTAGTTTAAGCTGCAAGAAACTTCACATCAGATACGAGTAACAGTGTAACGGTAAAATGAATGAACAGAAGAAATTTATTCAAACATTAGATTTCCTAACCACTTTTTCATGTCTGCAGGCTTTTTGTATGATCAATAATTCTCAAGTAATAATGATTGGCATAATAAATAGGCCCCAGTCAGGACTTGACAAATTAGAAATTGGGACCATAAGTTTCTCCTTTTGAAATATGCTGGTTTCAGTGCTAAGGCATAACTTATTTTTGAAAGTTTCATTACTGTTTGGTGGTTTGTTTAAAAAGTGTTTGCAGTTACAAGTTGATGAGTTCCATGTAACTATGGGTTGCCAACCCAACTATGGGTAACCATGGCAATCTGGTAGTGACCAAAGCAATTACAAGGAGGTTTTTGGCAGAACATCATCTTTAGGACCAGCAAGTAAGCTCCAGCAACCGCTCAACAGCTGGTTGGGGAACATATATGTTGGCTCAGGCCTTTATTTTGAAAAAGCTCAAAGAGCTATTGTACCAGATTCCCATTTATATGACAAGCTGCTTCATGCTGTGGCTAAGATTTCTTGTGTAACTTTGAAGGTGTCACATTTAAGACCCAATCAAATGCAAACAAACTGCACTGAGACAGTTCATTCCCCAACATATGTTTGCCCAATGATGAGTAACGTTGCCAACCAAGCCAGTAATGTTATACATTTTTTTTACAATGCATAACATTACCTCAGTTTTTCTTCTTTGCAAGTTGTTCTTGTTGTTGTTTCTCGGCTTTCTGTTTCTTGTACTGGGCTATCTCGGCCATCTGCAGCCCATGGGCCATTTGCCTGTTGAGATGAAGTGAACAGCGTGATGACAGCACACACATACGCACACAGTGTAGTCCTGCAATGGCTTGGCTTTCTCTCCAAAGAACAGATTAGCTGACAGGTGGATTCATAGTAATAGCCACTGCTTAGGTCCACAGCTTTATCCTGTAATGCTGTAAGGCTGAAATCTTGTGCTCAGTGTACAGTTTAAGTGAACAAGGCACACCAAGCCATTACCAACAAACTCACAGCTGTAAATGTGAATAAATGTGAATGTGTAAAAACTTCTATAAAACTACGTACTCCAAAAAGTAAGCGTTTTGTTTTTTTGGGGTTTTTTTTCAAATGTCTGAAATGACCTAAATGTGTTGTAAGTTATAAGTTGTGGTTTTGTTAGTATCAGTAACACAGTTGCAATATTAATTCTGATGGATACCTGCAGTCAGTGTTTTCTCCTTTTAACTCAACCTTTCATCCAGTTTTTGCATCTAAACTTAACCACCATGGACAGAAAACATTAGTAATTATGTTTGACTTTTCAGATTTGATGAAATGACATTTAAGAGTATGTTTGGAGCAACTCAGTTCCCCTACCTGCTTTTCCAGCCAGAATCTAAACACTGTTCTCAGGTTTTCCTTTTTAAAGAGCTTATTTTTCTTTGTTCGGATGGTTCGGGTTCTCACATTCAAACTGGAGTTTTAAGAAAGTTGAGGAAGGAATCACAAATAGAAGATGGGCCTGGAATCAAACTAGGAGCTGCTAACAATGAGCCTAAAAACATTTTGACTGATCTCACATGATGATAGGACCCTTTAAAATATATGTTTTGAAGTTTTCTCCAGTGAATTATCAGAAATCCGATAAAACATCCCAGGGTACCAGAAGTAATTTCTGTTCTTCCGCATCAGAGACATTAAATTGGTGCCGTTTTGCTGTCGAAATTATGAATTATCCCATGATGATACTCGGAAATGGTTAGAGAAAACAATCTTGGTGGAGTGGGTGCAACCTTTGTCAAAATTTGTGTAAGGTTGAAGACATCTGCAAACACATGTAGGATAGGGAAGCCAACACATTTTATTCTTTGCTGTCCATTTTTAAAGAAAGCAGCTTTAAAAATAAATTTCAGCTTCATACTTTTGATAAGTCTGTGGAATTATTTATAATGTAGATGGGCAAGGGGTTTTTTTGTTTGTTTGTTTTGGGTATTTTTTGTTTTTGTTTTGCTTTAGCTGTCATTAATAACTACTTGATGTCATTTATTTTGAAAATCTGATATATTTCTGTAAACTTTTCAGAACAAACTAGGAGCTGTTATTTTGAAAAATTCCCTCCAAATTAACTGGTTCCTGTTGTAGTCTTTAAATTAAAATAACAGTAGCTCAAATGGTCAGGTAGGGTTTGACCTGCACTTCTTACTATTATGGTCATGGCGCATGTCTGTATATGTCTTTATGTAAACTATTTGCTCCCCAACAATTGGACCAATCTTAAAAAAGCTTTACACAAACGTCATCACACATACAGCAATTAATAACTGCAAGGGTTTTTTTTAAGTTTTATTATAAACCTGAATTATTTGGATTTTTCTGTATGTTGTGTTTATTTCATCATCCCAAGTGCAATGTTACATTCCCTATTTGTGTTTGTTTAATTTGTCACATTCAACAATAACCATCTGTACATAATTTAATGGTCACTAAAATTTCTATCTGTGAGAGAATTTGGCATGATGAGTTGCTGTTTTTACACTAAAACAAGCATGGGAATTGTTTTTAGTGGATGGACCAGTGCAGTACTCTTGAGGGTAAAAAGGAAGAGGCAGAGTAACACAGGAGAAGGAGAAAAGTCACTTATCCCTACCCAGACTTGAGGTCTGGAGGAACAGGCAGGGGTTTGGTAAATCCATCTCTCCCTACGAGCCAGTAGGTCTCCTCTATTCCTTTCCCCTGAGAAAGATATAGAAAGAAACTATAAGAGGCTGTATTTTCACTTCATCTGATCATAATGGTGAAACCCATATTTTGTGTTTAAGGGCTGTACCCGGACTTCTGTCCTTCCTCTCAACTCCAACTTGTAGCCAAGATTTAGTTCATGGAGGACCTTCACTGTACTCTGATGAACATGGATCCTGTAAGCTGTAACAGATAAATGTTTAACAGATACATTTCCAGGTGAAGAAAGGTGACTTCACAACAAGTCCACATTCATGTCTGGCTATTTCATCCATCTACTGATTTTTCCGGTTATAGATTAGCAACTTACGCATCCCGCTGGACTCCATACGAGAGGCAGTGGTCACTGTGTCTCCAAACAGACAGTAGCGAGGCATGGTGAGACCCACAACACCTGCTACGCACGAACCTACAACACATACGTACACATCAGGTGAACTTGACAATTTCTCCTTGTCTAAATGTGTTGAGTTGCTGCCACATGATTGGCTGATTAGATATTTAACCTAATAAACTTGCCAGTGAGTCAGTTAGTAAATTTTTTTGTGATGAGTTTATGACTTCAATTTGAAGTCTCACTGAAAATCATATAATTTATGGCTCAGTTTGGACTAAAATAATAATAAAGGAGGGTCCTCTTTTACATATGTCTACCTTGATGACAAGTTGGCAACAGCCAAGAGGTTCAAATTGAGGCTTCAGGGGGAAACTTGTGTGACAGCAAAGTAGCTGTATCCATATTCTAAATGGTTAAAAGTCAATGGCTTTGGGTTTCGGGTAGTTTATCAAATTTTGTGCCAATAAAAATGCTAAAAATCATTGACACATCATATATGCTTACATTTTAAATAACCATGAAGTGTACATTACTTCAAATTACTCTACACTGACAACTGTACAACTAAAAACCCTCCTTCACATATTGCACTAATGCTTTAATACCTGTGTGAAGTCCTATTCGTATCCTCACTGGAACATCAGGCATGTGTCTCATTTTAAAGGTCCCCACAGCACTCAGAATGTCAAGAGCCATGTTGGCTATTTCTGTGGCATGTCGGATGCCGTTAGGAACTGGAACACCTGACGCTACCATGTAAGCATCGCCTATTGTCTCCACCTGGAGGAGATCAGAAATGAATAAGCATCAGTGTCATGTGATGAGATTTAATACCAGAAGCCACAGGACGACTACATAAAAGATTATCACCTTGTAGACATCATGGTTTCCTATGATGGCGTCAAAGAGGGTGTAGAGGTCGTTGAGGAGATCGACCACTTCAATGGGTTCGCTGTTAGCTGAGATGGTGGTGAAGCCAACGATGTCACTGAAATACAGTGACACCTGGTCAAAATATTCTGGTTCAACTGTCCCGCCCACCTTCAAAGCCTCTGCCACAGACCTGGAAAAAAAAGTGAAAATAAGTGTGATTGTGGCCAGGTAAACAGGAGGAAAGAGCCAGGTATCAAATAATGTGTAAAGGTAACAGCATTATCCTCATCTTTATACCATTGAAAATAATTACTTACGGAGGCAGCATCTGAGTCAAAAGCTTCTCTGTCTTCTGTTTTTCTATCTCCAGCTCCTCTGTCCGCTCTCTGATTAGCTCCTCCAGGTTAGACGAGTACTGCTCCAGCATCCTCAGCATAGAGTCAATGATGTTGGTTTTCTTCCCCTTGTTGATGTTTTTGAACTGAAATGAGAACATCGACATCCTCAAAACCCACCAGAGTTCTCCAAGAAATTATTTCTAATATTATTTCAAACATATTTTCTCAAAATAAAAATGTATATTTTGTAATAGCCCTACCTGGTCAAAGATTTCATCAAAGACCGGCCGCTTGTCTGGCTGTTCATTCCAGCACTGTTTCATCAGCTGGATACACTCCATTGGAGCATAGTCCGGACTGACCACTGGACGGCACAGAGGAGGAGGCTTACACAGCTTCTCTATTATTTCTAAAACACAGAAACACCAGTTAAATGAGGATGCCACTACTGGTAAGTAAACTGATCCAGAAGGAAACAACTTTGATCAACTTTACACCTCCCCCATTTGGCTAAGAACATATGTGCAGTGATTTATTGAAACATCTGCAAACATACATAGAAATACAGTATATAAGAAAGAAACAGAGCTTGTACAGTTCTAACCAGCCTAAAGGTCAGTATTTGGTATGAACACCTTTATTCTTCAACATAGCCTCAACTTTCTCAGGCAGCCTTCTTGTCATTTCTTTAAGTAGTCTTCAGGAATAGTTTTCCAGATCTCTTGAAGGACATATTAAGCTCTTCTTTTGGATGTTGGCTGCCTTTAGATGATCCCAAAATGCTTCAACAATGTTAAGGTCCAGGCCCTAATGACTAATGACTAAATCCATGACTAAGGGTGCTCCACTGTGCGTTTTTCTATCCAGGTATCATTTTTACTGCACTGGCAGTGTGTTTGGGATCATTATCATGCCGGAAAATGAAAATGTTGCCATTTTAATGTTTTCCAGATAGTATTGCATTGTGGTCAAAATCTGAATGTACTTTTCTGCATTCATAATTCCATCAATTTTGACAAGATCTCCAAATCCACTGGCTGAAGTGCAGCAACAAAGAGCCCCTACTGTGTCTTATAGATGACTGTAAACACAATGTGCTCCTCTCTCCTGACCTCATGTCTTTTGAATTTTTTGTACATTCAACCAAAGAAATGGGAACAAACTAAGCTGCTAGTACCCAAGCACCCAAAGATACAATTTAAAACTGGTTCTTTGCTAAGTTGCATGTTATGTGTAGGCACAGGTTCACTCTAGATTTCTGCCTGCTGGAACCTTTAAATTGGAGGAATCTTTTCATAGAAGAATCTAATCTTGTCAAGAATTAAAGCTGTCTAAATTATGCTCTCTGAGTCTGGACTTGTGCGTTTCTACTAGATTTGGGAGGTTTATTATTGTGAAGCTATTCTCTTGCCTTTATCAGACAGGTCCAGCATGCAGAATGGAGGCCCTCTCACCACCACCTCCTGCATGATGATAGCGAAGCTGTACACATCACCGGTTAGAGTCCCGTGTAGTCCTGCCTGGCCACTCCTCAGGATCTCTGGAGCAGTCCAAAGTAACTCTTGCACAAAGATGAGGGCATTATTTTAAAAACAGGTTGGTAGTGCTTTTTTCAAGTAACTGTTCCTGTTGCATAGTTTGTCTCACCATCTGCATGTGGCTCAATATAGGGGAACCGCTGAGCCTCTAGGACCTCATTGTAGCCATAATCTGTAACCTTCAGGACAAAACGTCCATCCACCACACAGTTGCGAGACTTTAGACGAGTGTGAGACACTCCACGGTGATGGAGATACTTCATACCCTTAAAAGTATAACATTTTAAAACTCTTTGATTAATCCTGACTGCAGACAAGGATATGTTCCTTGTCTAAAAAAAATACCAAAAAATACTCGTGTTCCTGCTATCTGCCTTTCACCTTAATTAGATCCAGCAACAGAGATGACTTGAACATCCAGTCGAGCTTGACGTCTTCATTTAGGAGCAGGTCCTCGAGGCTGCCTCTGGAGCAGAACTCAGTCACAATGGCAAATACGCCACAGTCATGAAAAAAGCCAAGGAAAGGGTTGACGTTCTCATGACGCATGTCCTTCATCTGCAGACAGAAACATCTTGATTTTCAAGTTTTTGGGCTTATAAGACCAAGGATTACAACAAGAAGAAGGTATAACTGAATCTGTCTCTGCAACAAAACACCATGTCATCAGCTGAGAACCTCATACTCATGTTCATGGTGGCAGTGAGTGCACTGACATTTTTTTCTGGTTCTCGGTAAAAATGTATGACATTATTTAAGTCTTTACTCCATGAAAGCCTACTAAGAGAAATCCCTGAAGCTGGAAACCCAGAAACTACTCTAATGGACGCCAAATCACAACTTTAATCATGTAAACTAAGGCTTTTTCAAAACATGTAATTAAGGATACATGGGAGGTTGTCATATGTTGTCTTTATGAAAAAAGTAGTTAAACTAAAAAAATATCTACTTTGTCATGTAACAATATCACGTACCAGTTCAAACACATCACTTGTTTTGGGATTGATGCTGCTAAATGTCCCATAAGGAAGTCTCTTCAGCCACGCCCAGTCCCCCTAGTGGAGAAAAACACCAAACAGCGCAAATACTTAGACATCTTTTTAGGCTTTTAAGCCATGTAAATCCTTTTAATTTTAGTATTTTTGCACATCCATGCTGGACCAATGCTGCATGAGTTACATGGAGCAATCTGTAACTCTTTTATTTCTGTACAGTTTCAAAACTGTTGCACTGCAGCTCATAAATAGATGGCCTTGCCTCAAAAATTACAACGTTGGAGTTTTCGTAGGTGGCTGGCGATTGGGTGGAAATCGTTGAGGCAAGACTGCGTTCAGACGTGCTCTTCATGCCACTAGTCCTACTGTCATCCAGACTCAGCTTCTACAGAGAAGAAAATTTGTCAGTCGGTTTCAACTTTACATCACGCTATATTATCAGTTTGGATAAATACAGGAAAATGTTAAATTAAGAATTCAGAATTCTAAGTAGACGGAGGCTGACCTTGTTGCTAAGTGATGGGTTTATGAATGTGACATCAGCCAGTGTAAGTAAAATCTTGTTGGGACCTCTGACCAGCCGGATCTGATTTATCCGTCGCCTGATGGAAATAAGGGAGGTTGATGAAAGTTAACGCTTGAGGCATGAAGATATCAGAAAAACAGCTACATGATGATAAGTTCTAAAGTTTTTACCTGGAAAGATTTTAATTTACACTAATATTCCAGACCTCTTAGGCCCAACATCATGTTTTAAGACATCTTTGTACCTGATGCAGTAAATTAGTGGCACAGCAACAATAAAGGCAGCAATCACCCCAAGGAGCACACTTATGGTTGAGAACAAATCCACTCCTGGAACAGAGAAGAAGAAGTCGAAAAACAAATTTTATCTTAAAAAAATCTGTAATTAAATGCAAACATTTACAAGCTTATATTGTCAAAGCTTTAATTTTAATTGTTAGTTTAAATTAAATTTTGAAGTAGGTATGACACTTCCAACGGTACAAATACTTGTAATGAAATTTTTGAAACAAAAGACAAACACTTTCTTGGAACTGCACATATATTTATATGTTTGTTTGAAGTGTCATGTATCATTCTTAAATATATCAAATGTACACTGAAACATCCAGAGCACAGAGATCAACGTGACATACTGTGTATAGATGTGTGCTTGGTCCTTGCCAAGCAGCAACTTACAGTTCCTTAAATGGCCACAAAGGGCTGCCTTCATGAGTCAAGCCCCATAGACTCCTCTGTTAAAATGTCCAACCTTACCGCAGAAAAATACAGGTTTTTGCTTCTTTTAGCCAATTTCCTCAATAACTATTTTAAGGGTTGGGATTTTTTTGTGTAACTCAACCGTTTTATTGTTATTTCATTATTTTATAATGGCTTAAAATTATGCCTTTTTAGGAAAGTGTTGAGTTTTAATAGGCTAGTCATTTAAGTCATTGAAACACAGTCTTGAATGTATTGTATTTGTGGTGTTGGTGCCTTTTCTAGCTTCACAGCAGTAACCCAATGGACGAAGTCAAAGTTGCTACATCCTCACCTCCTGAGCAGATGACTCCTGGAGTAAACCAGCATGAGGCGTCTTTCTTGGGTCCATAACCTCGAGGGAAATGGATGTCTTTACCCAGGAAGCGGACCATACCGATCTCCATGTCGATCCTGTCATTAGTCAGTTAGATCAGTTGTTAATTTTGAATGGTATCTGCACTTGTACAGCATTTCTCTTGACTTGCCTTCATTCCTTCATTTCCTAGTCAGACACAATAAAACACTAAACATGTAATCTCAGCTCTTAAATACCTGTGTGTTGGCTTCAGCTCCCAAGATATTCCATCTGTGTCCAGTATGAGGTATTCCAGCAGAGCTGCTCCAGACCCATTAGTTGTAATTGGGTGACTGAAGCCCTGCAAAAAAAAAAAAAAAGGGTACGTCCGTTTATCCTTTGTATAGATCTTTCTCATCTTATCATATAGGCTGTTCTATTTTATTAAATAATTTAATACAGAAATGCACTATATTACCTAGTGAGAAAAGTAACTTTTTAGAGTTATATTGTACACTAAACCAGCTTCAGAAACCGAAATAGATGGAAAGCCTACAACAGCAGCAAGGAATTAGGCATAAAAAAGTAGACCCAGTGCTGTGTCTCATTACCTGGAAGGCCAAGTTTTGGCTCTGTCGTGCCAAATTTCCTCCAGACATCCACTCCCTGGACTCCCGAACCCGATGCACTGCATGAGCCATGAAGATGACAGAGTTGTAGATGGTACCAAACAGAGGCGATACCTACAGCACACACAGAGATGTCAACTTCAGCTGCTTTGCTTATGGCAATGTCTTCAATAGAAAGACAATGCTTAATAATGTATTAAAATCTCTTTCCGTGCATCACCTGCTGGGGTTTCAACGTACTCGCCACCTCTCCTCTTTCCATGGCCTCTCTATAAGCCTCGTAGAACGACACCCGGGGTGAGTCGATGGTGACGGTCAGCACGGCATCATAGGCCCGCAGCAGTTTGTTGTTTCTCTTCAGAGCTGGGTAGGTCACATTATGGTAGGGCAGACTGTAGAGCAGTGTGTCATAAGGAAGAAACACTAGAGAGCCATCAATCATCTGCATATCGTAGGCCGTCTCCAGTAGAAGCCTCTGGGCTGTGCCACCAATCAGAACCGAGTGCATGCAGAGGATCACAACTGGGACGAGAAATGAGACTGAACATCAAGATCTGACATGTTTCATCGTTGACTGACATTGTCTTTATGTGAAAAAAAGTAAATAGTTTTCTACTGATTGACAAATTGTTAGCCAATATGCATTTCCTTCCTTTATAATCAAAATGAGCTCAATTATCAAAATTTCATATTGTACTCAGTCTGATATGACACTAGCAACTGAGTCCTTAAATAATCAGGAAAATGTTTACTAAGGTTGTAGCACAAGCAAGTTGAAAACTGTTTTCCTGTAGACCATAAAAAACTGGACCACAAGGGTTGCATAAGAAATTTAGGTTTAAGGTACTTCCTACTAACTCGATTGCGTAAACCCTCATTTAGATTTTGCTAATCCACTAGTTTGCAAATGTCTACTCAGGTGCAAGTGACATAAATTTCATCATCAGATGGTCAGGGTCAATGAAGATGATAACAGAAATGACTACTTGACCATCGAATATCCAGTTGAGCGTAAGTGAGTTGAGACGTAAATGAATATAAATGAATACTGACCTCGTATTTCACTCATCTTGCGGACCTTGGTGAGAGCTCGTCTGATGCCGTGAGGTGTGTTCTCCATAAAAGTGACCAGTCTGACTGGCATGCCATGGCTCCTCAAGGCGTCAGCCACCTGGACATGATAGAGAAACATGACCTAGACAAAACTTCAAAGACTGATAGTCTTGGCTTTATGATCAGGTATTTGATGTTGTAACTCTTCTAGGTATCTAGGCAGCATTCAGAAACCTGTGGCTGTTTTTGGAGTCCAAATGTGAAAACAAAGGATTTCAAACCTTGGTTGCTGTTTCCATCCAGATGTCCTCAGAGGAAGAGATGATGCCAATGTGAGCCCACCTGAAGTAGCTCATGACACTAAGTAGGACCCAGGTAGGTCTTGCCATCGAGCGAGCAAAAGTCGGATGGCTGCGAACATCATCCAACTCATAGCCAACACATCCCCAAGGAAACAGTGCCTGGAAGATTAAAGTAGACAAGAAAAAGGGTTTGTAACGAGACCAAATCACAGCAAAATATGATTAGTTTTTCTTCCTGAAGTGTTAAAGATGCGTAGTAGACACATTCCAGCTTACTTTATTCCAGCCTTTGCTCAGCATTGAAGCAGCATCACAGTAGCCTGGGTTGGCTGGGCCAATGTAGCCTGAAGCTTTGGTGTGGAAACCCACAAATGCCTCCAGTGCCCTGGATGTCTCACATGGCTCCTGAAAAAAATGTCCAATAATCCAAAAATTAATACTGAAACAAACCAGCCAGAAAAAAACAAGGTAAATTAACTTGAAACAGCCATGCATCAATTTTCTTTCATGCAGTGTAGTGCAGCTAAATTATATTTGCAAGGATATAGGTTTGTTCAAGATTTCCAGTGTTAAAGCTACTCAACAGCATAGCACATGCAAAGTTAAATTATAGTGGCATACTGTTTAAATGATGAGCAATTTCTTTAATATAAGGTGTTCTTTGCCTCTGCATACTTTCTGAATGCTTGTTCCTGTTTTGTTTTTTTTGTTTATTTGGCTTAATTTATAGATTAATGTTGCTAGCTAAATAAGCTAACTTTGGTTGTCTAACAAACAGTGTTGGGAAGGTTACTTTTAAAATATATTCCACCACAGATTACAGAGTAAATGCCCCAAAATGTATTTTGTAACGTATTCCGTTACTTTACTCAAAGACAGTAATGTATTCTGAATACTTTGGATTACTTAATATATTGTCATGCTTTTTTACAACTACATGAATGTACTATTGCTGTGTGATTTATTACGATTACTGAAGGTTACTCGCCATACGAATACCAACTACATTTTTAAATATTAATATAAATGAGTAACAGTTGGGTGGACATTAGGCTGCACTTTTTGCAGCGATCTTGTATAGAAAACTGTTCTGCGCGTATATAAAACAGGTCCGCTGCTCTGAACCGTAGTAAAGGGACCTCTGGCTAATACGTTGGTTCTGTGTCGGGCTCGTAGCCAAAAACTAGCTTTACTAGCTTGAAAGGCTGCTCCAACGGGACTTATTGTTTTTGGAGGAAAACACGAACACGGTGTACAGTCGAGTCTTAATAGCTTGCTTACAACCGGACTACACTGCCCATGAGGCTACATTCTTTAGGGCGATGCCTGTAACACTCTGCCTACTGCCTTCATATTAAACACTTCATATCCTTCACATCATTATGAGACGCAAGATTGAGACACAGGCATTAGAGCCTCTTAATGCGCGTTTTGTTTGGGTTTCCATCGGCGTGGAATTACCAAAAATAGAGAGACCATAGCCTAACATATGAAACAGGAAAAGACCGCCATGTAATCCCTTTATTTCAAAAAAGTAACTGTATTCTAAATACCACCTTTTTAAACAGTAACTGTAACGGAATACAGTTACTCATATTTTGTATTTTAAATATGTAACAGCAGTACATTTATTCTGTTACTCCCCAACACTGCTAACAAAGCTTTCCTTGCTGAGTAGCCCATAATCTTAATGTACTTGGTTCATGTATATCAGCAAATATAATGCTAGTAGTGAATCATGTGTGGAGCTTCGGTCAGTTGTGTACCTGCAGCACTGCATACTCAAATGTTACAGCATAGGACAGTGAGGCATCCTTGTTGATGCGATTGACAGCGAGCTGTGCTGCCACACTGGGAAGGGCCTTGGCAAAGAGAGGGTCACATCCCCAGGGCCCCACCACTCCAACCCGAAACCAAGCTGCCTGGGTTGGACAGGGCAGTAAGCACAAGGATGCCAGGAGGATGAAGAGGAACCTCAACAAGCCACAAAGGGAAAGGGGTGTGAGGGAAGGAGGAAGATTTGGAGCGCAGCAACATGGATTTAAGGAGGAAGGAGGATGAGCTGAGGGAGATGACTTAATTATAAAAGCCGAGTAGGAAAGGCAGAAATCAGGAGATGATTCTGGTGTCTTCTTCCATGTCTGAGGTAAGGAGGTGAAGGCACGGCGTTGCTGTCGCATCTCAAGGCTCACAGGAAGGTTGGTGAGGAAAGTCTGAAAGTGAAAGTGTTGCTTCCCTAAAATTTAGATGAGTGAAAGAAAGAAAAGCCTGTCATTTGAGCTCCTTTCCTCAAAAACATTCAGCAAGCACCAGGGAAATGTGATACAGTGTTTCCATCTAGATTGTCTTTTGTAGAGGTTTGAGGATATTTGACTCCAAGTCTCATCAAGTTTAGTTCTGACTTAGAGGAAATTGATGCTTTTGTGGGACAATAATGAGACTTTTTTTTTTACTCTTCTCCACTCATAGAGCTGTAACCTAAATAATTTTGTCTTGCTTGAGAAATGGTGACATAACTTATAAATCTTTTAAATGTAAGTTAATTTAATAAATTTGAGAAAACATTAAAAATAAAGAAAAGTATTAGATTGAATTACCAAGAAAGCAACGGTTCAGTCACAAAGACAACGGTCTTTTTCTGAATATCACTTGAACCTAATGAGCTGAGGAAGTCTGAGCTTGTAGTTTTGTGTATAGTTTCACTTTAAATGATCCCATCCTCAGTGTTTTAAACTTGCGTGCCTGTTTTCCTCCCTGCAGACGACTAATTAGTTTCAATTGTTTATTGTTTCTGAGCTAGTTCTCTTCGTATTCCTGTTCAGTCCTTCTGGTTTCTTTGTGAAGCCCGTGTCTTTCTCTCTGCGCTTTGGTTTGTTTTTTCTTCTTGGATTATTCATTTCATCCATCCATCAAACCTTACATCTGCAGGTGTTTAATTCAGAACATTATATTAATTGTTTTCTTTTTCTTTCTTTTAAAGACGAATTAAATAGGGTAAGCAAACTCTTTGCATTATATCCTCAAATACTTGAGGGAAAAAAGATGTCTAAAAACTGCTTAAAGCTAAGTTTAATTAATTTGTAATTAACAAGCCTTTGTAAAAAAAAAAATTGCCAGAGGGATTCCAGAGCCCGTGTTTTACAGTGTAACTACAAAAACTGAACATGCAATCAAGGATGTCCAGATGTTCACACATGTGGACATGGTTTGCAGGCGGTGGTAATGATCGTTTTGGGTACTTACAGCTACTGCATTTGTAAATTTACTGGATGCTACTTTATCCTTACAGATTTCTTCGGGGAGTTTATTCTGTACTATTTGTCCATGATATGCAATTTTATTGACTTTGTTTTCTACACACCAGTGACATCTTAAAATCTAATGCATTCTTACTGATTTTAAAGAAGAAGATACCTGCCAGCAAATTTCTCTTCAACCAGGTTAGTTAGTAAAAACTCCAGTAACAGATATTTGAGTTTTAATGTAACTATACCTGAAAGCATGTCAACAGTTTATCAGCTGGGTACAACAGGATTATCTGGTGTGACCTTGTACTGTTTCATAATCCTCGTGTAAAATTATTATCAGTGCTATGAACACAAAAAGATAAATCCAAGTGGCCTGGCTCTCAAATATCTCATATTTCATAGTGTTGTAACAGGATTTTAGTACTCAGATTTTGCAGATTCTCGGTGTGTGAATTGTACACGTTTATACTTGTGCTTGAGACGTTTTAAAGAAGCAGTGGATTTCATCCGATTTTTGCAACTTTACTCTTACTCAGCTGCGGCTAATTCATTTTTCATGTCTATCTAATTTTATTTGCAGTATTTAACTATGACAAGGTGTTCCTTGTTATGCCTGTCATTGTTTTTATTTTCAGGTTACTTACCATGCTTTGGTGAGAGGGACGAGAGGCAAATCTTCTGCACCAAACTGCCACATTTACGACTTGTTCCATCTTCTCGTTTTGTTTACATCCTGGAATTTAGTCCGTAAAGTTGTCTAGTATTGCTGCATTATGAAGAGTCATACATTTAAGTCAGCTAGTGAGTCTGCAGAAGCTTGTGCATTTGTGTGTATCAGATGACCTGGAATAAGTGTGTGTGTGTGTGTGTGTGTGTGTGTGTGTGTGTGACCTGGCCGGCTTGTCAGATTATATCAAATCCAATCAGGACCTTTTGGAGCGGTAAGCAGCACTGACTGAGAAGGGGAAGTGAAAACCATGTCCATTATCATCGCTGGGCTTTAATCATATTTTCATATGTGTTAGTTGTAGAACAAGAACAAATTAAGCTCGTTGTATTGACAACATAATTTAATTTATCTCAGTGTAGTTTTTGTGTCTTCACACACATGTGAGTTTTACTGACATCCTATACTCGATGCTGGCCCACCATTTGCAGTTTACACATTGATGTTTGAACGAGAGGGCCTCATCCGTATCTTTACAGACCCTGCTTTGCACTGGTGTGCAGCCATGTTGGAATGTTGGAACAAGGGGCCTCCCCCAAACGCAAGAAAATGGCCAAAATGTCTTGGTATGCTGAAGCGTTAAGAATTTCTTTCTCTGGAACTAAGGGGGCCGAGTCCAACTCCTGAACACAGCCCCACATCATAATCCGCCTTCCCTAAAACTTTACACTTGGCATAATAAATCAGAGAAGTACCGTCTCCTGGCAACCACCAAACTCAGTCTCATCAATCAGATTGCCAGATAGAGAAGCATGATTCGTCAGTCCAGAGAACATGTTTCCACTGCTCTAGTGGCTGGTGGAGGTGTGCATTACTCCACTGCATCCAACATTTTGCATTGTTGCTGATGTAAGCCTGGTATACATGGAAACTAATTCCATGAAGGTTTCTACACACTGTTCTTGAGCTAATGTGAAGGCCACATGAAGTTTGGAGGTCTGTAGCAACTGACTCTGTAGAAATTTGGCGACCTCTGTGCACTATGCGCCTCAGTATCTGCTAACCCAGCTCTGTTCTATTACCACTAACAGCTGTCTGTGAAATGTTTAGTCTTATTGCACAGGAATTCACTGGAACAGGAAGTCACTGAGCTCCTGAGAGCGACCCATTCTTCTTGTAGAAGCAGTCTGCATACCTAGGTGATGGATTTTATAGACATGTGAACATGGAAGTGATTGGAACACCTGAATTCAATGATTTGAATGAGTGAGTGAATACTTTTGGCAGTATAGTGTATATATACACTCTCACTGATTAACTATGGTTAACTATTCCTTAGAAAGATGCGCCACAACTAGATGTTTTTAGTTTGTGGCATATTTCTGGCCAGATGTTTGACCGGTCATCTTGACAGAATTGGTAGAGGGCTGTAGAAACCACAATTTTGTAAGTAGGGGAACTCACATTTATTTGCACCCTTTCGCATACAAAACACATAATATTCTTTGAAACTGTCCCACTAACTGAGGTGAGTGTTTCCACAGATATTAAAGCCTGAATAAGTCCCTGGAATCTTTTCAGGCATCTACACCTCTTGCTGCCACTTAAAGCTCTAAACGGAAGCAACAACAGGTAGGTAGCCTTGTTCTTTAAAACACGAGAAAGTGATGTAGTAAAAATTCATAAACCCTGGTTGGACATGAGGGGAGGTCTGACACTTTTCTGCCATCATTAGAGGAGATAGCTGTGAGGAATGCAGCAGCATACAGTCAGTCATAAACTCCGAGGAATCCTTTCGTTTATACAATGTATGCACACATGATATTCAGCAGTGAGGCACTTTTACTGCTGACTACAGATGTGATACATTTAGCTCCTCTACTGATGCTTTTTGAACACCCACACTCTAGACTCTAAGCCTTCCCAATTATTTCTGAACCATAAACAACATGTTGTTAAACTTATTTTGAGTTTTTAGCTTTATATCCACAGCTTCTCTTGGAAGAAACCACAAAAAACTCTGTTTTTATTCCTTTTACTCCAGACTTTATATGCTGTACGTAGCTCCAGGGTAAGTTGCTCATATGGAAGCTAGAGGGCAGCACAGCACAGAAGCAACTGCAACATGCACTTCAATAAGTTCTCTGGTGGAGCCTTCAAGGGAACAGTGGTGCTAAGATGAAGCAGATTTTTAGCTTTCACTGAGTCCCCCTGCTTCAGGGGGAGTGACAGAATTTATTGCCCAACATGACTGCACATCTCTGCAGAGTAAATGTCATTGTTCAGAGGTTTTAATCTGATAATGAGTTGATTATCCCTGTTTTTCCATGATCACTCTTTCTTTGGAGCTTGTTGTATTTTGTTCCTGATTTGAGGCTTAAAAACACATATGTGTGCTTTAGGGTTCTGAACATTCAGCCAAAGACTATTGTAACAACTGTTTGCATAATAAAGTTACAGCACTCTGTCATAATCACTCGCTCTCTGAACCTGGAGACCAAGACAAGTCAGTCCAGATGTGAAGTTCCCATCAGCCAGATGAACCCTCTGACCCCAGCTCTTGTTTAAACAAGTGCTGCTGTAATGCCCCATAAAAACTTTTGTTATTTTTTTAAAATGCTGACAGAACAAAAACAATATCTGAGAAAACTCTTTCTGCTACTTGGCTCAGTCATCTTGGACATGTTTTAGTTGTCATTGCAAAACTCAAATATGGAAGGAATTGCTGCTGGATACGAAATGTTTCAGAGCTCCAGGGGAAATCTAGTGAAAAGGACATTGGGAGTTTTCATTTTTCTGCCATAGAGTTCTCATTTTCTCGTTCAGTAACATTTAAAAACGAGAACACTACATAGGCCTGCCTACTGAGCACTAGCTCATGCTCATAATATAAACCACAAACATGTTCAGCTTATAAGTTCCTTTTGATTTCGTGTGTTTTACCCCAAAGCAAAAATATTTACTCTCATATAATTTAACACTGAAATGTAAGTAATTCAACCTTACCTACACTCACTGGTCACTTTGTTAGGTACACCTGTTAGCACAAACGTCTATTCAATCACATGGCAAAAACTCAGTAGACATTCTGAAGATGACCTGTTGAAGTTCAAACTGAACATCAGAATGAAGAATAAATTTGACAACTATACCATTTTGAAAGTGGCGTGGTAGTAGGCGACAGATGGGCTGATCTCCTGTGAGTTTCCAATGCAACATCTCAAAAAGAGAAAATATCCAGTGAGTGTCAGTTCTCTGAGGAATATCCCTTGTTGATGCCGGAGGTCAGAGGAGAGCGCAGACTGCGCAGACATTAACACAAATAACCACTCATTACAACAAAGGTATGCAGAAGAGCATCTCTGACGAGAAGCAAATAGGCTACAGCAGCAGAAGACCACACAGGACCCCTCCTGTTAGCTAAGAACAGGAAACTGAGGCTACAATTCACATGGGCTCACTAAAATTGAACAATACTAGATATTGCCTGGCCTAATGAGTTTCGGTTTTTCTGCTGTGATGTTCAGATAGCAGAGTCAGAATTTGGTGTAAACAACTTGAAAGCATGGCTCCATCCTGCCTTATATAAACCATTCTAATAAAGTGTCCTGAGTGTAAATGTTTAGAATAATAAAAGTGCCTCATTTTAAGCCATTAACCATCTGTGATGCTCAGATGACAAGCTGTTAGTTAACAATTGTGCCAATAAACTAAATCAAAATGTGACTATTACACTTATGTAAAGAACTTGCAAAATAGCAAAAGTTTGTTTTTCAAAAAATTTTTCAATTTTAATTTCAAAATATCAGATCACAACCTCTCTTTTGATTAACTTCCTTACAGAGCAACAATAAGTTATTTCCTTTCAAGAAGTCGTTAGGTCATTGACCTAAAAATATAGAACTAGAATCTCTGTGAGATATAATACAGGCTTTCCAACTAGCTTAACTGTTTTCACTATAGGGGGCTGTGTCTCCCATAGAGTTCATTTTGCGTTTACTGATGCAAGTCTACAGCAGAGTTCAGCCACAGGTGACTCTACCTTCCAAGTAATCACCTTATGTGCAGGTGTTGACAGTCTCTCCCATAAGCAACTCTTTGAATTAATCATGAGCTCCTTTTGTAAATGGCACTTATCTTTATGAAATGACCACTTAGCATCCACTGATGGAGGGCCCCTTCATTCTCAAGACTGACCGGCACCACTGCGTGTAGGAGGCGGAGGGATTTGGTGGACAGGAGGGGGTTCAACGAGGCCTCAAGCGGGACAAAACAAGTCTTCACATTCCATCAGTGGTGACAGCAGCTGTATACAGGCCTCTCAGGTAACATAACTCTGTGTCTCAAGGCCATGTTGCATATAAGTGGCCATGATTAGACAGCTGAAGTAGATGGGATTTTAAAACAACTCTTGTGGACTCATTGTCACGGCTGGAGACTAATTGGTTAGTTTGAGGTACAAAGTCTTCCTAGCTAAGCTTAAACAAAACACACACAAAAATGTGGCATTGGCCCATTGACCCACACCAACACCCACCATATGAGGTGTAGCAACCTAAGTTTCTGTAATTAAACAAATGAGCAGATACTTCTTGGACACCTTGTTAGTACAATTAACTCCATCCATCTACCCACGAATCTGTCCATCCATCCTCTTAAACACTTATCATATCCCAACTATCATAAGCCAAAAGGCAGGGTGACCACATAGTAAGGCCCTAGTCACATAGGAACAGAGATTGGTCAGTTTTTAAATCACAAATTATCTGTGATTAACCACATTTTTAAAAAGCCAAGTTTAGTTTCACTAATCGCACCTGATTACTGCCACACCTGTTGAATCAAGAAATCACCAAGGCAGAACCGGTCTGATAAAAATGAGGCGACCTAAAAGATCTCAATCACTCATTCAGGAGTGAAAAAAGAACCCAAAACACCTTCTAAAGAACCAAAGTCCTCGCTTGCCTCAGTCAAGGTCAGAGTTTGTGATTTAGCAATAAGAAAGAGACTGGACAAAAATGGCATGGAGTAGGATAGATTCACAGTTTAAGTTGTCATAGAAAAGTATACAGGTAAGAAATAAACCACCTTGGGGTGGGGGTAACACCCAGGGTTAACCTCGATGTCCAACCTCAATAAGACAAAATCCACCTTCTTAGTTCACGCCCACTGGACTCTTCCAACGCTGATGCCTAAAACATT